TGTTTTGCGAGCGCCACCAAGTAATTTTCTCGCCTACTTCGACATTACTCGCCATCAAGCGTGCTCTATGTGCGCCGCCATCTAATCTCGTCACTGCCAGAAACCTCCGCCAGTATAAACACCGACGACCTTCCTATCGTGCGTCGCGCCATCGTATCTTCTCGCCGCCATCTGCTTTTGCCACCATCAACCACCACTCGCCGGGTGGTACTGCGCGCCCGGAAAGATCTTCTCGCCGCCATCTCCGAGGTCGACGGATCCACGTTCTTCTTACGCGCCTTCCATTCCATCTTCAACACACGACACGCAATGTCTTCTCGCTCCGTTCCATCTTGGAGAGTTCTTGGGAAACAAGTTAGGGAAGGCGAGGTCGCACCGAAGAAAGGTCGCCACGATCCCGCAAAGAGAAGAAGGGGCGTCCAAGGCGGGAAGGCCGCAGTTGGGAGAGAGGTGGAGGCAGATTGGGTGGATGCACAGGAGAGACAGAAGGAGGACGACGACTTCAAAGAAGTAGATGAACAGACTCTCGTGAGGAAAGTGAAGCAGAGAACGGGGGGTGCGATACAGATCGAAACGGGGGGGGTGGGCGCTGCGGAGGTGGCTCCTGATCAGCAGCAGACGCCGTCGAGTAAGCGAAGCGAACAGGCTGTTGGTGTGGCTAACAGTTCCCAAGTTGTGGTCGACCAGTCGACGATGCGTTCCCCTGCACCGCAGCTGCGCGGGGAGGCAGTTCAGGGTGCGTCAGCCGTGGCGGACGTTGCGAAGGTGGGCGATGCCGGGGCGGCGGGCGAAGACGACGAACCACTAGTGATGAAGCTTCGCGGGCAACGTCCGGAGGCGAAAGCGATGGAGGTGGCCGCGAGGCTATGGACCGACGACATTCGGTTCTGGAATCAAACGCGGGGAGAAGAAATCATCGACATCATGCACGAAGCCCGAGTTCACCTCTTTGATGTGGCGGCGAAGGAAAGGGCGTTAAAGGTGGAAAGGATTGCGAAGAGGGCCATCCATGGCTGGATTTTCAAGTTCGACAGCAGACACAAGGGGTATCACTTGGCGTACCAGTACGCCTTGAACCACGCGGCAACTGACATGGCGAGAGCGATGTGGGCATTGGAGGACTGGCGTTCGTTAGTCAGCCCGATGGCGATTCGAAACACGCTGGAGTTGGGTATGAAGCTCCCTTTGTGGTTCGTCGGAGCGAACGTGGTGGACAGGCACCAGGACGACGATTGCGAGGCTTACCAGGAGGCCATCGCTCAACGTTTCGTGCGCGATTTCACGAATGTGGTGGAGGCGGCGCAGGCGATGGACTCGGGGTGTGTGTCTTACGAGCGCCTGAAGTCCTTGGCGGAGGCGATGAGGTACTTGCTGGCGACGGCGGCGTGGATAATGAGGATGGTTGGGGACGACGCAAGATCGCACTTCGACGCCTGGGTTTTCGTGCAGTTGACGTCGAAGACCGCCCTTCTTGCTGCCATGGATCGCCATTTTGACTCCCGTCGTCATGTCTTGCTAGCCGCAACTTTGATGACGGAGAAACTGGGAAGACCGCCTCCGACCTTCGCTCCCCCCCCACTGTACATCCCCGACTGGGCATCGAAGTGCGGCGTCACGTTCAATCACGACGTGACTTTTTCCTCCCCGATGGAAGCAACGAAGACGGATTGACTCGGCACAAGCCCCCCTGAGGAGGAAGACTCGGACGACGACGATGTTGATGGCGCCGAGGGAGGGTAATAGTGGGAGTGGAAGTGGATGGACTGCCGGTGAGGGCGGGCGATCGTTCGTGGAAGGGTTTAGTAAACGTCGGGGGCGAGGGTGCATCATCCGTGCGCACAAAGATCATGACGGTGGGGGAAAGACGAAGACAAAGCTGAAGATGGTGGCAGTGCAACATGGACTGGATCGCCAGAACGAGACCCCCTTTTTTGGATGATGACGACGACGACGAAGATGATGATGGCGGCGATGGCGGGTATCTGCAGCGGGGAGACTGTATCGATTGCCGTCGTGATGCCACCATCGCTGTTGCGTCCTTTGCCGGGGCTTTCACGCTGGGAGTCGCGCTTTCTGTCCCTGTTTTCCGTGGTTCGTTTTCTATCGATTTTTCATCTTGCACACCCACACCACCGACGATCGATCGGTTGGTAGTGCACCTAGTTTGCGTCGTTCGGTGTCTTCTATTTAGGTTGTCAAGTGGACGGCACGTGTTTTATCTTCTTCGTAGGAGGACAGAAACTTTGGGTGTTTCGCTGTCAGCGCCGTGTATATCATTTCGTAATCGTCCTTCACTTTCCGTTTACTTTCTCTGCGTCCTCTTCCTGCATTCGTTGTGGATTATGAAGAAGCGGAGGCTTCGGTTCTATACACACCGATTGGTTTTCACGCGCTTCGAAGTCATGTTCCAATTGACAAGGGAAAACAACGTTGTTCTTCTTTTTCATTCAAACAATGGATTCGTGTATTTTGTGGGCGATGGGACAACCGTCTTTGTTCTGGGCATATGTTGTGTTCACGGGGATGTGTTATGTTAATGGGACAAGGGTTTTGTAATGTCCATGGAATGATGTGTTCATTGCTGACGGCGACACTGTGCATTCGAAGGATGAACTGTACCTTGAAAGGAACAAATAGAACGATATTTTGTGCATTCACGCATTCTGATCACACACACACACACACACACACACACACACACACACACCCACACCCACACACACACACACACACACACACACACGGACACACACGCTCTAGCGTGAGCGGAAATACGTGACACAAGCGTATAAAAACATACTGAACGAAAACATGTTGCAAAATGAAGACTGCATTCCACATCGCAACAACATTCAATGAAAGAAGATCATCAAGAATAATGGGAAGCCTTCCAAGGTTTCCAACGAGTTCAGTTCGTAATAAAAGTAGATGGCAGCTCAATCGCCGTCCTTCGTAGACCCCCTCACCCTCCGCTAAACCCTCAACTGCCCAACCAACGACTTTCCGTAATTAAACCTACCACCAAACTCAGTCTTCACCACGCCGCAGATTACCAACAACTATGAGTTCCACACGCCGCAGATTACCACAAAAACGAAAGACACTCACTTCGACTAAGGTTCAGTTAACCACTTGTGCCGCTGGAACAGCACTGCTACATACATAACGACAGAATGGAAATACCGTGCAAAAAACGGCAGTGAGGATCGACCATCTACGACACAACTGCTACACGCTAACGGGAAGACGACAACCTGCCGGATGAGTGCTTTGAACAACCCCAGGGAAGAAAGCACATTGTGCTTGACGACGACCAAACAAACTTCCAGACAACAGCACACTGGGAGGGCTTCAGTGTCGTGTTCTCTGAGCACCTTCAGTGGATACGCGAGGGCGTACCTCCCTATCGTTGCTGGCGCATCATCTCTTCGGTGCCTCCCCACTTTAGTGTGCTCCGATATCTCGCCGCATCACGACCGTCTTCGACTCTCCACTCCCACAACCACCCATCCTCATTGCGCACCCATCCTCTCCGCCAATGCATCCCGCAAAATGAGTGCGTCCCCGGTCGACGACTCCATGCAAACAGGACGCAGCGGCGCATGCATGACCAGATCCACCCTGCGTCGGACGCCATCCGGACCGACCTCCCACAACAGGTTGTCGTCGAAGGGAATGCCTGCGTCGATCAGTATGTTGTGGAGGATGCACACCGCGATGAACTATTGCGGCAACGTGTCCATGTTGCACTTGTGCGTGCGCAGGAATAACCTCCACATGCCCTTCAATCTTCCAAACGCCCTCTCTACCGCTCCCCTCGCCGTCTTTTGCTTGTTGTCGAACCGTGCCTCCGTGGGATGCTGCGCGAGACTTCCATACGGGACGACAATCCATTCCGACTGGGGATAGCCGTTGTCGCCGAGCAAGTATCCATTTGTTCGGACACCGAACGACAGCATGACATGAGGGTCAGTGAAAAGTTGTCCAGACTCCGCGCGCTCCCACAAACTGGACAGATGTAACATCCTCATGTCATGCACGCTGCCAGGGTAACCGACAAAGACGTCCAGCACACGCAAATTCATGTCAACGACAACCTGCGCCTGCATAGAGAATCACCTCTTCCGATAGTCCTCCCCGTTCGCGTTGGCGGGTTTGTCCACGTAGATGTGGGTGCAGTCGATGCACCCGTGGCAATTTGGAAATCCCTTGTCTGCAAACGCGCGCAACACGACCGCCTTCCGCAAGCCAGTGGGCCACGAAATCTTGTTCGGGTACGCAGCAAGCAAGGCAGCGGTAACGTCTCGGACCGCCGTGATACCAGAAACCCTCCCGGTGCCGAAGCTGCACGTTCCGCTGTCGTAGGTCTCACCCGTCGCCCACCTATAGAGAGTGTACGCCATGATGTGATCCGGCTGCAAAGGCACTCAGTAAAACGTCACACGCCGTTGCAGGTATGGAGAAAGCGTTTCCGCGATTTCGCGGAAGACACGTGGCGACATTCAGAGCTTGTCTCTGAAGTAGTCGTTGGTGGCGTCGTCGCTTTGGCGCAGGTCCTCCCATGTTCCTCCCATCCGCCACTTCATCCACCATCTTGGAGTCGCCCTCGGAAAGGCGCCACACCCCAACGCGTAGCACACCTGGAGGACGGCGTCCGAAAGTGCTCCCAGGTCCAATCCTTCACCGCTGCTCGCCAGTGCCGTCACCTTCCGTCGCGCGCAAGCAGCTGCTTTGATCCTCCCCGCGGTTCTTTCCACTTCACAACGATAGAGGACGACATTCACCGCCGCAGCGATAGCCGTCCTCTCATCTGTCGTTAGAGCACGACCCCTGACAACGCCGTCAATAACCATCCCGGACGCCTCTTCCATCGACGACACCGGAACCCACGTCAACCGCCAAAACTCCACAAACACCGCCACGCAGAACGACGATATCCCGCCTCCATGAAGAAACGTGGACACCACCACTGCGAACGGCGACAAGCTACGACGATGGCGACCTTGAACGCCGACAACGTATGGTTGTCCAACGGAAGGCATGCGCACACTGTACAGTCGAAGGCGATCAAACTGACATCTCGTATGTACACGCCAACGGCCGGCACCCCCCC